TTTCAGATTCTTGCTCAATATTAAACCCTTCTTGGCCTCTTGTTTTAAATCATTACACCGTCTGGGCTCTTACTGGCAGCCATGCTCTCTCCATTTCCCCCATGTCACTTATCACCTTTGAAGATCTTAAAGAATACATTGCACCTATGCATGTCCCTCCCCCACTAGAAGTGAAGTGGCTTGAGAAATGAGACTCGTTACTTGGTGTTTTAAAATAGCAGTATCCCAGTTCCCAGGACAGTTTTAGGGCTTAATAAAAATTAAACATTCAATATGCTCAGATCCAAAACCCACAGAAGATTCAGTCAGAGTTTTATCAGAGGAAACTTGTTCTCTGCTCTCACCCAGAGCAAAGGCTGGGGAAGGTCCGTGATATTAATGTGCTTATTTCTGATGCTTTCATTTACTCTTCCTCCTGAGTGTGTTCCCTCTTGCTGGGCGTAATTTAAAATATGTCCTAGAGATAAGTATTTTAATCTTGCTAGACTTTAGCACACACACACACACACACACACACACACACACACAAACACACTAAAAACTAAAGGTTAGGTAGAACAGTCAACAAATGTGGTGAAGTCACTCTCCCGCGGTTGAAAGAGCATGCACACACTTCCAAAGAGGTTCCCACTGCAGGCTGTGTAAGGCACAAAAGGGGCCCAAAGATGGCTCAGCAGGTAAAGGACTTGCCACAAAAGAGTGCTGACCTGAGCTTTATCCCCGGAACTCATGTAAAGGTGAGAATCAGTTCCACAAAGTTGTCCTCTCTATAACTGCATACCTACCCCCCTCCCCCCCTCTCTCTCTCACACAATAATAATAATAATAAATACATTCAAACTATTTTTAAAGAAAATTGTTTTAAAAATTAAGTTCAGTTTAAAAGTGCAAAAGATGGTTAAAAAAGGTACACGTAAGCCTACTAGTGTTGAAAACAAAATAAATTAACTATTATAATTATATTCTGTCCATGCATGAAAACATTTTGTGAGAGGTTATACACTAAACTATAAAGCAGCTATTAATACAGTGAAAATCCTATTACAACTACAAAACAGAAGACAGCTAATCATAATAACCATTTACCTTTCATGTGCTGTAAATATGTTATACTTTACAAATGTCTAATAAACATCAATTCATTTTCAATATCAAAACTGCTACACAAAGTTTGCTGCCATTATCCTAATTTATACATGAGGAATTTTACATATAAACTGTTTGCTGATTATGACTGCTCTAATAAGCGGTAGAGGCCAAGTTTGAACCCACATGTCCTGGCTCTGAAGTCTATGCACTTACCTTTGGCAGTAGTTATTACAAACACATATTACTTTACAATTTGAAAAATTATTTCTTAAGTCTATCTCCAAATAGCAGTAGCAGTAGTAATATTAGCAGCAACAAACACACTATTAATTGTATGTAGAACCTGGCTATCAGCAAAGGAAGCCTTCTGTTCCTCATCCCACAGCCTCACTTAGCACTGAACATCTTTCCCTATCCTTTGTATTCATACAGTGCCAGGCACCATGCATTGTCCTACCCCAGCGAGCTCTCAGGATTCTAAAGGCGTGTCAGTCATCACACAGACCCCTATATTTATTTTTCCTCTTTCTCTCCCATCTGAACTGTCCGCATTAGGAACAAACATTTCTCTTACGAAATCATCAATCATAAAATTATTTGCCTTGGGTGGTGAAAAGCTGAACCACATGTGTCGGGATACAGGGTGGATTATGTACCAATAAAACCTATCACAAATTGAAGATCCATAAGTGAAGAATTCAAAGAATATGCAGGACATTGCAGCTTAATTTGGGAGTATTTTACAGACATCCCAAACCCTTACATTATCTTACACTTGGGTGAAAACAACAACTAACAGAAAAGACCCTGCACAGTAAAGTGTGGCTATTTCATACCATGTGCTGAGCACTGACAGGAAGTGAAAGGCAGAGCAGAGCATGTTCATGCTTTCACTTTACTAACACCAGTGATTTAGGTGAGAACCTCTATGAACACTACGTAATAGAGAATCTCCTGGCTCCTTTGCCTAGGGGATGCTCATCACCTGTATTTCTTTGGAGATCTCAGATATCCATGGCTGCCCCGAATCTGGGGAACCTTAACACGAGTGGGGGTTGTTTTAAAGATTTCACGGAGCTTCCACATAAATTTCCTGCTGAATTCTGTAGCACTCTGGCAGCTGACCTTCATCGTTGACTGTGAATGCTCACAAAAGTAATAATTAAGCTTGATTTTAAAAAATATAGTTCAAATTCATCACCAGAGCTCCAAGAAGAATGTTTGCAGTGACAGAAGTGGAGAATGGCAGAGAGACACAACACATTAGACCTTAAACACTCAGGGGTATATTTCTGATTATAAGAATTTAAATGTTCTTTTAGCCTAGGCTGCATGTTGGTTGTACAGATGCCTGCTGACTGCGATGGGAGCTGCTGGATGTGCTGTGTTACAGACACCTTCCTATATAAAACTTGGTGAAAATCAAATACACAAAATGTTTTAAAAGGCGAGAAGGAGCCTGTTAAAGCAAAACTCGGTGTGGAGAATGCACTGTGGAGAGGCTGTTGGTTTAAGAACCCAAGCAAACATCAAAATGTTTGCAGATCTGACCATAAAATGATGCAAGTTGAGCCTTTGTTCCTGCAGTAAACTTGAGTCAGAAGAACAAACAAAGATATCTAGGAGGTTGCCCAACTCTGAATTCTGTGAGAAGGTTTCTGCTACTGAAAAAAACATCTTTGAAACTGAGTGTCTTGACCAACATCTTCTATCAATCAAAAGGACCCCAGGGTCCTTTTGCTGATAAGTAGCACTAGGAAAAAAAAACTATGTCATTTTAAATTTAGAACAATCTGTTGTAGTATGTTTTAATGTGCGGCAGCGTGAACCCACAGAGAAAAAGTTGATGTGGAATTGAGGACTAGCATTTAGAAGTGGTAGGAGTCTAGAGACATGTGTTAGGGTATTTCCTTGACAAAGATGAATTAAGGTCCGTGTTAGGGTCTTAGATTGATTTTGTAAAGCGTGCTTGTTTAGTTTCCAAGACACTGCTAAGTAGCTGGACTCAGGGTTAGGGCTGGTTGTGCGCTCTCTGTCAGAGGCATGGTTTCCTGTGCTATATTTTATACACCCTTGGAGTAAAGACTCCTTACACCTTGTCAGTCTCTCTCTGTACCGTCTCACAGCACATGTCACACCAGGTCATTTCCCTATATATGTGATCTCAATGCTGTATGCTTTTAAATATATACAGTATTTAAAATCTACGTCCCTGTCTTTATTGTTTCTGCTACTAATATTGCCATTAGAATGCTTGTTTGGCACGTAAACCCTTGGGTTTGATCCCTAGTGCTGCATAACTCTGAAAGTTGAGCATGGTGGCATATGCTTGTAATTCCAGCACATAGGAAGGAGGCAGAGGCAAGAGAACCAAGTTTCAGGTCATCCTCAGCTTCTTAGAGAATTCAGGGTCAACCTAAACTCAAAACAAAACCACAACTATAAAAACCCTTTCAAGTTCTCAACAGCTGTGTGCATGGCTGCTCACTGCTATATCACCCCTCACGAAGGGATCCCATAGAACTATCCCATACCCCATAGAACTAACAGTAACAACACTGGATATAATGTGCCCTTTTAATCTGGAATACAGGATTATGGCTGCAGAACACCCCCACCCTAACATTCATTCTCTTTCTGTAGATTCTATCTTCTGACACAGCCCCTGGAGGTTATTTCTTTAACATGGAATGGCCTAAGTTTGTAAAATCACATTTTAATGTCACTTGCAAAAGCCATGGTTTCCCTAATGACAGAAGTATGACTACCAGTTCTAGTACAATCTGATGTTGGAGTTTCCTTTACAACATTCTCCACAAATGTTTGGTTGTGTGCTTTTCTAAATTGCTGGAGTTAGTCAGGCAGAAAGATAAGGCTCTTTGTTTTTTAAAGTGTCTACTCACCTTCTTGGGCAAGCCTCTTTATAGCAGACCATTGTTTCGTCTCCGGAACCCTCTTCCAGGAGCCCCTTAGCTTCCCTTCCGTGGCCAGTCAGGTGAAGAGCTCTCTTTGCTTCCACTTGTATACATTGTGGTGTGTACCTTTTAATTTTCTGGACAGAGCTTTCAAGATCCCTTTGCAATGGCTGTTTTATTATCATTGAAGGCTTCTCACATATCAGTTACAAGAATAGTATTAACCTTAAATGAAATAAAATTATGTGTTCCACTGCAGAGACTAACATGAAAGTTAAATTTCAGACTTGAATCAGATGCATTCATGCAAGTGTGCATGCGTGTGCACACACACACACACACACACACACACACAGAGAGAGAGAGAGAGAGAGAGAGAGAGAGAGAGAGAGAGAGAGAGAGAGAGTCCTGATGTCTATGACTTCTCCAATTTCAGGTGCTGGTCTGAATTTACAGCAGACAAATTTTAGCTTCCAGAGTTTTACATTGTTGTGAGAAGTTTTTCCTTGATAAATTTAACTTTTTAACCTTAATTTTCCATATGAATAATTAGCTGCATGTGAGACACACCTTTTATTTAATGCTTCAACACTGTGACTTAAAAAGCAAACATATTAATGAATGAACAAAAACTAGGTTAGTTCAACAATTGAAAAAATAACAAGATTTACACAGTATCAAAGATAGTCCATGAGAAATTTAGTTGTTTAAATAAAGTTAACTGAAGGTCAACTTTGTAGACTGAGATTCTAGCAACAAGATGTGTCAGAAGCCATGACATCTGAGCTTCATTTCATGACACTGTGGAAGGAGTTCTCTCTACTTCATCTTGTTTTTAGGATAACTGTCTAGTGAGGAACCGGCACAGGGCTTCCCAGCACCCACTGCGAAGATCCCTAAGGCTTTCGCCTGACTAACAGCAGCCTCCCATTGCATGTTTATGAGGAAAAAGAAACCAGGCTGAGCATCTCACCTGAACATGTTGTTGTTTAACAGAAAAGATGACTCCACAGACTGAGCACTCCTCAGCTGAGACCCCAACCCCTGAGGAAGAGCAACAGATGGGAAAGATGATGGCAAAGCGGGCAAAAATCATCAGGGAGCTGATACAGACAGAGAGGGATTACGTGACGGATCTGGAGCTGTGCGTCAGAGAAGTGGTCCAGCCGCTGAGAAACAAACAGGTGAACGCAAGCTTGAGATTGCTCTTGTCTTCCTAGTGTTTTCTCTCGTGTACTAAACACATACACCAGAACTGTGAAGTCCACGCACCCATCAGTATCAGTGGGGTGGCAGGTTTACTTTTCTCGGGGTTCCTAGTCCTAAGTTCACAGAAGTTGTCATGGGGTCCTTAATTCTGGCATCGAGGAGGGAAGTGCTGTCTGTCTCCCTATTTATGAGAGGAAACTATATTCACAAACTCGATGCGAAGGTAATTCACAGATTTTCTTTTTTCCCCTAGCATGAATTTTCTGTGTTTTTCTTTCGGATTTCTCTGAAATAGGTAACAAATTTGGGAAGTAGGCTTTAAGTAGTCTTGGGAACAAGTTATTTGATTCAGTGATGATCAAGGATTCCAAAGAGGAAATGATATAAGCCCCGCCCCCCTCCAGAGCTCACTTGAAGTATGGGGTTAAGTAAAATTCAACATAAAAATTAACCTGAATTAGTGTTTCTCTTTGGTAGGGCTTGACCTAAACAAAATCCCACGTGTTTATAAATGAATAATTCTTTCCCCTGAAAAGAATTTTCTGGGAATTATTTTGTAAGGTGTTTACCTTAGAATGGAAGCCACTTCATTTAATAATTTCCATCACTTACTTATTAAACATGTGGACATTGGCGCTGCTCTCAGCACAGAGCCCATGTGAGGCTTACTCTTTAGTCCAGGCAAGGAAATCATACAAGGTATAAACGGATAAACAAAATGAAAATGTGTTAGATGTGATAAAAACACCAGGTATTGAAGAGACAGGGACTGAGGCATGGAAAGAGTGGTGGTCCCTCCATTCCAGGTACAGTGATTAGATTTTTTAAAAAAAAGACCTTTCTAGTGTGTGCGTCTGAGCAGAGAACGGAGGGAAGAGGAGTTCACGGCAGGGCAGAGACAGGAACAAGGATCTCAGCACACTTGTAAGTGGCCCTTGTACACAATCCAAACTGTTCAACAATAAGGGGAAAACAAATGGACAAACACACATTGCAGCTCAAAGAAAGTCACTGGCCATGGTTGGGGACCTTCAGATATTTGGGAACTTATAAACACAGACACAGACAGACAGACAGACACATACACACACACACACACACACACACACACACACACACACACACACACACACACGTTTCCATAGAAAGGTATACAGTCTTGTAAGTATATATTTTCATTCAACAAACTATTGCAAGTCTTTTCATGACTTCTAAATTTATTTCTGCTATTACTGATCCCTAGATAAATATCTGTTTTTGTTTACTTGTTTGCTGACCTCCTTAGAATAGGTTCTCAGAAATGTAACTGCTAGGAAGTGTATTAGGGCCAAGCATGGTGGCACACACCTCTAATCCCAGCGTTCAGAGGCAGGCAGATCTCTGAGTTTGCAATCAGCCTGTCTACATAAGCTTTTGGCTAGCCAAAATGATATAGAAAGACTCTGTCTCAAGTAAACAAACAAACAAATAAATAAATAAATAAATAAATAAGGTTGTTTTTTTTCTGTTGTTATTTTGTTTTGTTTTTAATGTCAACTGCCAACCAAAGTTCAATAGTCCTGATTTTCATTCCTAGTGGTTGTGAGGCCTTTTCTCTGTATCATTCTCCTGAAAAGAAAATCTTCCTATATATTCCTTAGTCTTTATCATTTAGTCCCTTTTCACATTCTTAGCTTTTATAAAATTACTGTTTATGTATTTCCTTATTATTTTATAACACCTTTTTGAATATTCTTCTTCCTTCCTACATGTTGTCAATACCTTTCTTAGTTTGTCTTTCGCCTTCTAACTTTGGTTAAGAGTTAGGGTTGTTCTTTTCTTTTGTTCTAGCATGTTTATGGATTTGGTTCAGGCTTTAGTTTCTTAGTATTACCCACAATAATAAAACTATTACTACTCAGTTGTACTAACAACAGTGATTATATTCCCACCTCCACCGGTATATGCAACCTCCAGAAATAGAGTTTCCTAGTACCTTCCTTGTTCATGCCCAGTGATCTCTCTTTAACTCCATCTCAGCCACTTGCTCCAGGGTCTTCCCAGAACTGATCACCACCCAAGATTTCTTCCAGCTTACTGTGTCACTGACCTTGTCTTGTCCCTTTCCAGTTTCCACTGGTGGCTCCAAGTCACTGCCCTTGCCATCTCTCCCTGTCCCTTAGGCCTACACCTGGCTCCGCTTTTTGAGCTTTTATGGCAATCACTCCTGGAATATGGTCACTGTCCCCACACCCCCAACGGGTGTGGTCAGTACAACAGGTGTGGATATCTCACTACAGGTCGCCATTTCCTTTTTCTTTCCTTCCCTGGAAAACAAAAACCTGCCCTGGTGAAGTTCAACTTTCTGTCAGCTTTATGTGGTGAAATGATCTGCAAAGTCGACCTAATTTACTAAATATCTGTCATGGAAGTTGATGATTACCTGGTTGGTCTCTGAGTTTTGCTCATTTCATGTCATTCTTTTTTCTTTTATTTCTGTTGCTTCGGTAAAATAGCCTGACAAAAATCGACTTACAGGAAAAAGGGTTCATTTTACCTTATAGTTCCAGGTCATTGTGGGAAAAGCATACAGGCAGGAGCTTGAAGTATCTGGTCACATCTCATACTGGGGAGAAAAGGCATGCCTCCTTATTTCTGCTCAGCCATCTTTCTATAATTACACAGTCCAGGAGCCAAACTCAGGGAATGGTGTTGCCCACGGTGGGCATTTCAATATATAATGAAACAGTCCCTCCCAGGCACCGCACTTCCTAAACCTGATCCAGACGACCCTTCGCTGGAGTCCCTTCCCGGGTGATTGTGTGCAGTTCACCGTGTACTTTTAGAGACAGTCTCAGGGCAGGTGACTAAGACAAAGCATTTATGATGCTTCCTTACATGTGGTCAACTTCAGCTCACAACACTGCAAATCATGTCTCAGCTCTATTCAAATTTGCTTCGTTATTCTAATGAAGCGGATTGGAGCTTTGTGGTGCTGTGCAAATAAAGTCTGTCTGAAGGACAGAGACTGGAGCTGCCACTAGCTTTACTTGCACATCCAAGCTATCACCACAGAGTTTGATGGATTTTTTTCTATACAGTTTTCTTTGCTTAAGTATGACTATTCACCCTCCTTACTGTGAACTTCAGTTTTATACTATTTGTTGTAAGTATTATATCTGACTACATTGTAATTGACATTATTTTTGCTTGTCCTCTATTGCGGTAAATAAGGATCAGGATAAACAAATAAGCCGAATAGATGTTTATTCAGGGAGAAATAACTTACAACCTAGACAGATGAACACCAGGAAATTCAACCCGATCCTCTCCTGTCCGAGTCACGCCAGAAAGAGAGCGCCTTCCTGGCCCCCTCCGACCTCCTTCCTCAGGTCACCTCCGCCCATAGCTCCACCCCCCAATGGGAGTGGTCAGTGCTACAGAAGGACTACCTCACTACAATTCCCCTTTTAGTCTAAAGAAAAGATTTAGGCTTAATACAAAACTATATACAAAACAGTGAATAACAAGTGTGCTCTAAGAAAAGGAAAATCGAGAACAAAATGACCAACATATCTAGTCCTAGGGTGAGGGCATAATGGAGTTTACAATAGAGTTGTCCTAAGCTGGAAAACGTAAGTCTAGTACCTAATATATCTAACTAGGAAGAGAGAATAATAGTTGTGATAGTTTAATCTTCAACCTCATCAAGACCTGAGAAGGAAAATAACAATACTAGAGTAGACAGGAAATGCGGATGGACAACTTCCAAAATGGTGCAGCAAGGACAGAAACAGCAAGCCACCTGAACAGTCACCCTAGGTCTCACAGTGACGTTGGTACACCCAGATTTGGCTAAGGCCAAGAGAACTTGACAGACCACAACAACAGCAGGGAAATAGAATGGCTGTCTTACCCTGACTTGGCAAGGTCAAGCAGTCTTCTATATTTGTCTCCTGCAAGCACATAGGACTGCATGTCCAAATCAGTGGTCAAGGTGGGGGCAATTCTATGCCCAACAGGCCATTAGCTGAGGCGAGAATGAACTCCAGCAGGAGCAACAACAGTGTCCAACATATTTCGGGAAAATGCACGGTGCTGTCAGGAGCAACAGTGTCTCATGTCAATGGAGTACTAATATTAAAACATTTAAATGCCATGTTCTGCATGTCTATGAAGGATTGAAGATTAAGCATCTATATCTGACTAATCTCATAGGTACAGGAAATGTGAGTGAAGATAATCTGTAATACTCGGGAACTTAGCTAAAAAGACTGATTAAAACTTTCCTGAGTAAAGCAGGAACAAATACTTAAACAATATAACTATTTACATATACCTACATGTAAATCCCTAAAATAGAGGTAGAGTATAAGTATCAAGACAAGAGGTAGAACTATAAAGGGCAGCAAGATAAATATCCCAAATTGTATCAATATACAAAATGTCTTGAACACAAGAAAAGTATACATACATAGAATATGGTAAAAAAATAATGTGCATAAATATTATAAGTGGAAACATTTAACACAATATAACAAAATATAAACTTAATTTTACATAGCTTACCACATAGGAATACATAACAATGTAAGCTGTAAAATACTATCTCAATCATACTCAAATTCTCAAGGAAATAGGCTAATCTACTTATATCCCATCTAAACCATACCTTTACCCACCATTCCCTATTCCTGTCTAAAAGATAAACCCGAGTGTAAGCATCACCCAATCCCAAATAACTAAAACCAACCCAAAGACGATGACTATTATCCCAAATTTCCAAGGGTAGGGAAAGGGGGCGTAGTCATATTAAGATTACTTCCTGCTGAAATGGGACGATGATTGCTCCAATGGATCCTGTAGGAAGAAAATTTTTAGCAACCAAATTTCTCAATAGAATTGGCTGTGACATATGTAGTTAGTCACTGTGTGGCAGAAAATTCTTGACTGTAGTTCTATTTGAAATTGGCCAGGGTGTAATAAAAAGGTGCAC